CACACACACACACACACACACACACACACACACACACATATACACACACATCTTCCTTCCTTCCTTCCTTCCTTCCTTCCTTCCTTCCTTCCTTCCTTCCTTCCTTCCTTCCTTCTTTCCTTCCTTCCTTCCTTCCTTTCTTTCTTGGTTTTTTGAGACAGGGTTTCTCTGTGTAGTTTTGGTGGCTGTCCTGGAACTCACTTTGTAGCCCAGGCTGGCCTTGAACTCACAGAGATCCACCTGGCTCTGCCTTCCGAGTGCTGGGATTAAAGGTGTGCGCTGCCACCATCTTTCTTAAGCTCATCTTCAGGCTTCAAGGAAGCCTCTCCTTCCCTTTTGGGCGCCATCATGTCCAGATCTCCACATATGGCACTGTTTCCATCTAATGTTATTCCTTCCACCTCAAAGCCCTTTTCCCTAAGGCACCTGCTGCACTTTCTGAAGAGAAGCAAGAGTCAGCTTCCTTTCTGGACTACCCACTGCGGTGTATCACCATCTTACCATTATTATGTCTAATATCCCCATCAACAGTCCCACAGCCTCAGTTGCCACACAGGCTCTCACGAGCTCTCATCCTATCTTCATGCTGTGCTCTGGACCACAGTCACTTGAGCAGACAGCCACGGCCACAAGGTCTCCACAGTCAAGCTTTGTCTCTCCACTAGATCTCACGAGGCAGATAGAGCTTCTCCTTACCAAACACAATGTCTGTGGTTACTCGGAAGGCTTTGGAGAACATGACTGCTCTTTCTATCTTGTGGCGAGACAAAGGGGTGGGCTATTTGACCTCAATGAGAAGGGGTGTCTCTCTGGCCTTCACTTCTAGCACCCACCCCCTCTCACTGCTTCTGTCCCAGCATCTACCTTTGGGGGTCCTGGGGCACAGCTCTTCTTGCCTCCCAAGTCCTTGAGCCTGTAGCACATCTGGAGGGGCCCTAAAGATTTTGGGTTCCTGGTGTGGGAAGTGTCAACAGAGACAGGGGCCGGCTCTCAGTGGGGCACCTCCTTGGCCCTACAGACTCCTGTTTAGTGAGCCGGATGGGGGGTGTCATGGTAGGGACTCTCAGAGTAGTGGCCCTTGGGTTAATAGGAGCCTTGTTCTCTCCAACATCTTTACATTTTTTATTAATTAAAAAATTACCTTTCTATTAGCATTTCAACATGTTCTCTGTCATACTCAGATCTTAGCTCCTATATTTTTATACATGTGTATTTGTGTGGGAGCAAGTATGGGTAGAGGCCAGGAAACTATAAAGGGGTCCATGGGAGGCTAAAAGGAAACTCTGGAGTGGACAGAAGGGAGGGTAACAGAACACATATGATAGGAAGAGGTAGGGGGACATGGTGGGGGAGAAGCAGGGAGATGGAGGAGAGGCATTTAACACATCAAACCTGAGTGTGTAAGAAAAGGCCATGAAGAAACACACTACTTAAACATCATGTCAGTGAGGTAACGCAGTGTGGTGGTTAACACTGTCAACTAACAGACTCTAGGACCATCCTAGAGTCAGGCCGCAGGAAATGCCCGCAGGGCATCATTGAGAGGATGTTAATCGAGGTCCTAAAATTCACCCTGAGTGTGGGTGGCACCATTCCAGGGGATGGGGTTCTGGAATGAAGAATGAATGTGAGTGGCTTCCTGATGGGATGTAGCATGACTAGATGCCTCAAGTTCCTGCCCCATGCTGTCACTGCTATGATGGACCACCTCAAACTGTGAGCCAAAGTCAATCCTTCCTCCCCTAAGCTACTTCCAACAGGCATTTCCTCATAGCAGGGAGACAAGTGACTGAGATCCCAGGTTCAGAAAGACAACACTGAGTGCTACCCCCTACCCCACAGTACCTTTCGACGGCACAGGCTGTGGCCTCGTGGCTGACGGATGAGGAGTAGGTTTGCCACTCTCCACCAGGCAGGTCTCGCACCTGCACCGTGAAGTACCGGATGGGGGAGGCCCCGTCACTGCCAGGGACCCACTGGAGCCGGAGGCTGCGGGCTGTCACTTCAGCCTGGGGTACCAGGAGCTCTCTGGGGGGTGCTGGCCTCTCTGCAATCAGAGGAGGAGAAAAGCAGGGATTCATGAGAGACCATTCTGTGCTGCTCCTGGGTGCCTCCCAGTGGGAAGCGCTGTGTGGGACAGGCACAGAGAAAGAAAGTCCCAAGGCTAGAGAGCTGGTCTAGCCTTACAGGTGAAGCAGTTACCATACAAGCTGAGAACCCAAGTTCAGTCCCTAGGTCCCACATAAAAATCTGTTTGTAAGGGTGCATGCTCTTAATTCCAGTACTAGGGAGGTGGAGATAGGCACAGAGCTAGGGCTTATTGGCCAGCCAGCCTCACCTAATAGGAGAGTTCCAGGTCCCATTGAAACATTCTGTCTTAAGAAACAGGATAGAACTGAGTGGTGTTGGTGCACACCTTTAACCCCAGCACTCGGGAGGCAGAGGCAGGTGGATCTCTGTGAATCTCAGGCCAGCCTGGTCTACAGTCACACAGAAAAACCCGGTCTTGAAAAAAACCAATAAAAAAGAAAGAAAGAGAGAGAGAGAGAGAGAGAGAGAGAGAGAGAGAGAGAGAGAGAGAGAGCGGTAGATTGGTACCTGAGGCCAACACCCAAG